GTGACTCAGCTAACCCCAAACTCCGAGAGAAAGACCCCTGGGGGCTCCTGGATGTCGGGGAGCAGATTCACGTCCCCATGGGCTGCGCTGCACCTATAGCCAATGGCAGCAGCAGGTCTGCTGACTGTCCTGTGCCGTCCGCAGGAGGGAGGTGTTGGCCCCCGGCCCAGCCACACAGAACAGGACATGTGTGCCAGAGGCAGAAGGCCAGGAGGCTCTGGCGGCTGCTGGGCCATGCTCCACAGAGGAGAAGCTGCCTGAACTCACACCCTGCATCGGGATGGCATGCCACCAGGGCTGGGGTCATGTGAGTGCCCTGGGGTGAGGGTGGCTGGAGCCCTTGGGTCCTCATCTGGCCAGGAGAAGGAGGAGCCCCAGTCCCATCCTCCTCCCGGGCCGGAGAGAAAACAGCATGCTCTCCCAGGGCCGTTGTCTGGGAATACCCTGTCAAGGGTCCACTTAGAGACAGGGCACTCAGGGTCCTCTTGGGAGGCTCCCTCCCCACTTGCAAACCCGTGTGAGAGAATCCAGACCCTATTAGATTCGGATAAGGAGGAGTTTAATCCAGCCACTGGCGTCCAGGGGCTTGAGCCGGTGGGGTTTGACAAACCGTTGGCTCTCAGGCCAGCGCTGGCCCCCTTGCCCCTCACGGTTGGTCATGTTGTTTACTCCTGCGGTGAGGAGCCTGCCGAGGTTGGGGTGGGCAGGGGGCTTTCCAGAAAGGCAGCTAGGAGGCAGTCCCTGGTGTGCTGGGACCAGTTACCGAGCTCTGCTCTCTCCCAGAAAGACTGGGGCGGGTGGGGTGGAAGGCTGGGTGCTCTGGGACCGGGAGATCCCCAGCTTGTTGCTCCCTTTGCAGCTGGATGCGACGTCTCCAGGGGAGGAAGCTCCGCCCCCACTGGGCAGTGCCAGGCCAGGGGTTCTCAGTGCACACCCATGGATTCCTCTGAGCGGGCCCTGCTCCGTCTCCTGTGGCCGAGGTGAGGGGCCTCCAGGACTCTTAGGAGCAGACACAGTGAGCACTCTGATCTGCTTTCCTACTTCTAGAAAGGATTTGAGGTGGCTGACAGTAAATCCATAGGTCCCTGGGTGGTGCAAAGGGTTAAGCATGTGACTACTAGCCGAAAGGTTGGCTTCTGAAATCCACTCAGAGGTGCCTCGGAAGACAGGCCTGGTGATCTGCTCCCGAAAGGTCACAGCCTTGAAAACCCTCTGGAGTAGTTCTACTCTGCACACATGGGGTCGCCATGAGTCAGAATCGACTTGAAGGCAACAACAACAGTAAACCCAAACTGTAAGAACGTGAAATCACCTACAAGGAGACTCGGGCTAAATACCTGGCAGCCACTTGAAATACATTGATTGATTGAATGGAGGATAGGAAAAAATAATAAAGCCAGATAATACTACACCCAAGAGTATTCCTTAAACTCAGCAGAGCTGCAGGAGGTGGGCCCCAAATTTAGCTCTGAGCTTCCAGTTGGCCAAAATTAGTTGTGTCTTAATTCTATCTCAATTTTCTAGTGCTGCTGTAAAAGAAATAGCTTAAGTGGGTGGCTTTCAAGAGCAGACATTTATTTTCTCACAGTTCAGGAGGCCAACAATTGGAATTGAGGGCGGTCTCGGAGGGGAGGCTCGCTCTCTGTCAGCTTTAGGGGAGGATCCTTGTCCCTTTCAGCATCTGTAGCTCCAGTGTTCCTCCGCTCCTTGGCGATCTTCACGTGGCATCTTCCCCGGTTTCATGCTTGCTTCTGTCTGTGTCTGTGTTATTCGCTGTAACTCACAAGTGATTAGTTTCAGGACACACCCTACAAAGAAAGCCCTATTCCTAAACAGGATCAGATTCACAGGCACAGGGGCTAGGATTCCAGCACACCCCCAGTTCAACCCATAACAGGAAGAAACACTGCATTCTTAAACTAAAACCCTAAGCACTTGCTCAGTAAAACCTCAGCATGTTTAGAACTGAAATCAGAAAGAGATTTCTTTTGCGAATACCCCTGAAGGAGAGAGGACACTGGCCGTAATGACATCTCCCTGATAAACACAGTAAGAGGTTTTCAAATCACAGCTCTTACGATGCCTCTCGGTCAACAGTAGCAGCTACCGTTTGTTGAGCAGCTATCTATGTGCCGGGCACTTGCATCTCACTGTTAAATCTTTATAAATGGCTCTGCAAAGTGGGCTCCGTTATATGGAGAACCTAGGGTCAGAGAGGCTGAGTCACATGCCCAGGGTCACACATGGGAACGTGGCAGGGCCAGAACTCGAACTCACATGGCCCTAGCTGTGGAAGCTCTCTGGCGAGCCAGGTGGCCACAGGCCTTGCTGAGCCCCTCTCTTGGGCGTGGGGTCCCTACTCCCCCATAGGCCTGAGGGAGGTGCGCTTCGTGTGCGTGGACCCTACCCGTGGCACAGCAGTCCCGGAAGAGCTGTGTGACCTAGCGAGCAGGCCCAGGAGCCGGCAGGAGGCCTGCCAAGCTGCTCTGTGTCCCGGACGGTGAGTGGGGGAGGACCATGCAGAGAGGAGGGCAGGCATCTGGCCTTGGCGGCCCCTCAGAGCACTGGCCTTCCTCCTGCAGGTGGGAGACTCGAGCCTTGGCACCATGCCCAGTGACCTGCGGAGGTGGCCAGGTGCCACTGGCTATGCGCTGTGTGAGGCTGGACCACGGTCGCACCATCCCCCTGCCCCATGCCAAGTGCGGGCGGCTGCCCCGGCCCGATCCCCTTGAGGACTGCAGCCCGGAGCCCTGCCCCGCCAGGTGCTCGCTCCCCAGCCACCTCCCATCTCTAAGCCTCAGTTTTCTCTTCTGGAATCTGGGGAATGGGCTTGATAAAACCTCCCGAGTAGGGCTCTACTGCTCCTGAACATTCAGCCCAGGGCCAGCTGTGGGAGGGCTCCGGGCAGACAGGCGCGGGCTGGGTGAGGCCAGCCAGCGCTCTGAGGGCCCCTCTCTCCCTGCAGGTGGAGGGTCCTGCCAGCGGGCCCCTGCTCAGCCAGCTGCGGCCTTGGTACCGCCCGGCGCTTGGTGGCTTGCGTGCGGCTGGACCAAGGCCAAGAGATTGAGCTGGACGAGGTGGCCTGTGTGGGCCTGGAACGGCCGCAGGCCACCATCCCCTGCCTGCTTGCCCGCTGTGCCTACCGGTGGCATGTCAGCACGTGGATGGAGGTGAGCGCGGCAGCGGGGCCCTTGCTCCCTGGGGGGCTGGGGCCATGTCTGCCGTGGGCCACCTCAGTGGGGGAGGGTCGGGCTTTGATCCATGGGACCTCTGAGGGTGGGGAGAGTCCTTGCCCCCCACCTCAGGCACGTCACCTGTGAAGCTTCGTTCCCCCCCACTGCTGACCCAGAACTTCCGGGCGGGGGGCCCAGGCAGCTCCACGTGTAAAGGTTCTGCGGGTATGTTCTGTGGCACAGTTGGGGCTCCACCCAGTTTCCAGACTCATGATGTGCTGGGTCTGCTGAGGGGCAGTTGGGACGCCTAGAGACAGATGAGGAGTGAGGCCTGGAGACCTGGGGGGCCGGCTCTGAGGGCACTCTGAGAAGCAGACACCTCAGTCCATGACAGATGAGTGAGCGCCATCAGGTGCTAGGAAGACAGAGATACACAGGCTCAGGCCCCTCAGGGGGCTCACTCTCAGTGTGGGGGGCACGGAGGCAGCGCAGACGAGGAGGCGAGGCCTGGCTCCTGCCCTGCAGCACCTCCCCGCCCCCAGAGCCACCGAGGCACCTGGGGTGGGGGCAGAGATGAGAGGGAGGGCGGGGTGGAGGTGGGGAGAAGAGCAGCTTAAGGGACGGGTGAGGGGGGTCAGACCCCTCTGAGGAGCCCTGGTCACTGCTCTGGGGTTGGAAAGGCAGAGAGGCTGAGAGTGTGATGGTTAGAGACTGGGCTTGATCCTTGAACCCTCTCCTACATACGTGGCCCGGCTGCAGGTGACCTCTCTGAGCCTCAGTCTCCTCATCTGAGCCATGGAGACACCTTCCTGCCTCCCGGGTTGTGCAAAGACTATACTGGCTCTCACCTGGCCTGTGGCGGGTGCACAGAGCGGAGACCACCATCCTCCCCTCTCTCCTGCCAGTGCTCCGTCTCCTGCGGGAACGGCATCCAGCGCCGGCAGGACTCCTGCCTCGGACCAAAGGCCCGGGCGCCCGTGCCAGCTGACTTCTGCCAGCATTTGCCCAAGCCAGTGACGGTGCGGGGTTGCTGGGCGGGTCCCTGTGGAGAGCAGGGGACGCCCAGCCCGGTGCCCCCCAAGGAAGTTACTGCTGCAGGCCAGACCACAGAGCAGCCGAGGGCCCCTGCTCGCCTCCCCTCTCCCGCTCCCTGGACTCAGGGGCTCCTGGCCAGCCCCCGAGAAAGCCCTGTGGAGTCCAGTTACGTTCCTTCCTCCTTTTCCTCGGGAGCTGGCTGCAGGAGGGGTGGGCAAGCTCCACCGGGAGTGCTGGGGCTCATCCACGGCCACAGCAGGTGAAGGAGGGTGTGCTCGGGAGGTGGGCTCAGGGCTGGCCCTCGCCTCCCTTTTGTTGTCAGGAGAAAGCAGTCTGCCAGGGCCCCACAGTGCCGGATCTGTGTGACCCCCTGGCCTGTGTGCTGCTGTACACACGGCCCCCTCACAGGGAGGCGCTCCACCCTTCTGTGGGCGTCGTGCAGCCCCCTCCTCAAAACTCTGCTCACCGTGGGCTATCCCTCCTCAGGTGTCTGTGGACGGCAGCTCCTCAAGCCAGCAGGAACCATTGACCTTCGAGGCCCAGGGCAGGCGGACTGCGTGGTAGCCATCGGGCGGCCACTGGGGGAGGTGGTCACCCTCCACGTCCTTGAGAGTTCCCTCGACTGCAGTGCTGGTACGTCCAGGGCCCCATGGGCGGTCACTCCATGCAAACCCTTACGTTTAATCACTCACCATGGCCATCTGCTGACTGGGGTGTGACTGCCCCCATTTTACAGATGAGGAAACCAAGGCCGGGAGGGATGAAGTATGGTGCCTGGTGACTTAGAGTCCAGCTGTCAGCAGGAGAGTGGGGACTTGAACTCAGTCCACCTTGGGCCGTGGTGCTGCCCGTGGGCGGAAAGTGCTGGGCGCTCACGCGTGGCCACTTTCTAGGGGAGATGCTGCTGCTGTGGAGTAGGCTCACGTGGGGGAAGATGTGCAGGAAGCTGGCTGGCACCATCTTCAGCTCCCAGAGCAACACCCTGACCGTGAGGCAGCGCCGGGTGCGGCCAGGCGGTGGCGTGGTGCTGCGGTACAGGGGCCAGCCTGCCCCGCACCCGTCCCACCGAGGTACCACCAGTCGCCGGGTGGGTGGCTGGGCTGGGGCTGCTGTCACTGGGGGGCCGGCCCTGAGGGGCAGTGGGCAAGGAGGAGGGGAGCGGTCTGGGTGAGACTCTGGAGTGTATGCAGTGTTCCTTCCTCTCTGGGGCCAAGCAGCTAGAGGGGTGGACAAGGTCTCTGTCACATCCTCAGCCCACCCCTCAGGCCGCTGCCCGGCACACGGTCCCCAGCACGCAGGCCCTCTAGGATGCCTGGGCAGGACTGGGGACCAGGCTGGGCAGCGTTTTGGGCTCGCTGTCTCTCGTGTGGCTTGCTCCTGTGAGCCACTTTCCCTCAGTCCTGTTCTGGCTTCTTCACTCCTCCCTCGCAGAGCTGGGTGTGTGCATGCATGCTCGCACATACGTGCACACGCACACACACACACCCTACCACTGTGCACACCTGCCCCATCTGTGCCCTGCTTTGATAGGTCTCCGGTTGCCACGAGCTGGCTGGAGTTGGCTTCCAAAGCCGGGTGCAGAGGTTCCCAGTTCCCCCAGGGCTCAGGGTATGACAAGGGGGCAGCCTCTGTGGAGACTGAACACAGCCGCCCTGCCTGCTGCCACCCGCAGCCGCAGGCGTGCTGCAGCCAAGAGCACAGGCTCTGAGTCTTTGGGAAACGCGGCTACTCCCCTCCTCCTGCACGCACGTGGGCACTCACCTTGCAGGAGGCCTGGGGGGCGCAGGCAGGCGGGCTCCTTGGGACAGTGGTGGCATAGCTTCCCTCTGTGCCCGGCGCAGTGTTAAGCACTTTTGCACACGACTTCACTGAATCCTAAAAACGACCCTCCCAGGTGTGCGCTACCTTCTTTTTAAGAGGAGGGGCCGAGCGCAGAGCCCTTAGGGCCTTCGCAGCAGGTCCTGGGGCCAGCCGGGCAGTGGTAGGGCTGGGGCTCAGCAGGGCCTCCTGACCACAGTGCCACGCCACCTCTCCCACTGCTTCCTGCTTCCTGGCTGTGAGCTGCCCTGGCCTCCGGCACCACGGTCAGCCTGGGCTCCTATATCCCTGAGGTGGCCTACATCCAGCCCACACCTGCTGTCCCCGCAGAATGTGACATGCAGCTCTTTGGACCCTGGGGTGAAATTGTGAGCCCCTCGCTGAGTCCAGACGGGAGGAGCGCGGGGGGCTGCCGGGTCTTCATCAGTGTGGCTCCTCGGGCCCGGATGGCCGTCCACGCCCTGGTCACCGACGTGGGCATAAGGACTGAGCGGACAGACACTGGCTACATCTCGGTGAGGCCACCAAGGGGAGGACAGGAATAGGGCAACTCTGCTATGATTCTGGGACAGCGGAACCTGGGGATGGGGATGGGGTGGGTGCTGGGCTAGAAGATCCTCAAAGTCATTCACAAAGCACGGGAGAAAAGCGCCTTCCCTACTTCTTCACCCAACAAACGGTTATCGAGCACCCTAAACCAGTTGCCGTCTAGTCAGCTCTAACGCATGTGGACTCCACGTGTGTCAGAGTAGAACTGTGTGCTCCATCGGGTGTTCAATGGCTGATTCTCCAGAAGTAGATCGCCAGGCCTTTCTTCTGAAGTACTTCTGGGTGGACTTAAACTGACGGAAGTGAAATAGAAAAGACTTCTTCTGATGTAGACTGCCAGTTAAGCCAGGATTGAAGCATAATTTTAAACGCTGATTTAATTTGCCAGAGAGCAGGCCAATGCCCCACCGCCATGAGGTTTTGCATGCCCTGGGAGAGCTTTTCTCTGCAAAGTATCAGCTCCCCTGGAGGAAGCAGCCTGGGCCCTGGAATACCTAGTCTGGGCTCAGATCCCAGCTCAGCCCCACTCTGTGCTTGGGGAAAGCGCTGTAAATTCTCTGATCCTCTGTCCCTGGGCAGTGTGATCCTGATGTGGGAGCCCTTAGATATTGTTGTTGTTAGGTGCCGTCGAGTGTGTTCTGACTCACAGTGACCCTATAGGACAGAGTAGAACTGCCCCATAGGGTTTCCAAGGAGCGGCTGGTGGATTCGAACTGCCAATCTTTTGGTTAGCAGCGGTAGCTCTTAATCCACTTCGCCACTAGGGCTCCCCTAATGCTAGCTAATTATCACATGTGGCCCGTCCTTTGTGGCTACCCCTTTCCTCGCAGATCCGGGACATCCACAGCCTGAGGACCTCGACGTTCCGCGGGCAGCAGTCGTTCTACTGGGAGTCAGAGGGCAGCCAGGCCGAGGTGGAGTTCAGCGAGGGCTTCCTGGAGGCGCGCGCCAGCCTGCGGGGCCAGTACTGGACCCTCCATAGAGCGCAGGAAGAGGGGGGCCCGGCCCAGCCCTAGCTTCCTTTGCAAGCTCCTCTGTGCAGGGTCTCAGTTGACCACGGCGCAGGGGGTACCTTCCTCGTGCTGGAAACGGGGATCTGAGCCGGCAACGGAAGGGTCGTGGCGCTTACTGAACACCTGCGGTGCCTGGCCAGCCTGGAGGGGTGGACTCTGAGGACTTACATTTCTAACTCCTTCCAACTCAGGCGTCGCCTTGGGGTCTCCTCCAAAAGTGTAAAAGGCTAGGGTGTGGGAGGCAGCCCGCAGCCCCTCCGGTACCAATAAAAGGATCTTTGTGAGGAGCTGCAGCCGAGGTAACGTCTTCTCCTAACCTGTGCAAACCTGACTTAAGAGCTTTTCCCACGGCTGGCGGGGGGTTCCCGGGCCTTGGTCGGACTCCAGACCCATTCCCGACCTCGGCAAGCCCTTGCCACTCCTCGCTGTCTTCTTCCTACCCAGGGAGAACGAAAGGCGAGGGCGTGTGGAGTCAGGATAGGGACCCCAGCCTGGCGCACCTATTAACTCTACACGTAGCTCCGCCCGTGTGCTATTCTTAGGCTGGACGGTCCGAATGCCAGGGGTGGGTGTGTCCCATCGCCTCAAGGCCCCGCCCCTTATGCTAATGAGCCGCGCCGTTTCGGGCGGGCTCCGCCCCTTATGTGCTCCAGGCTCAGCTCCCACAAGGCCGCGCGCCGCAGCGACGCGGGCCGGCTTCGGGCCTTTGTGCGGTCTGTGGGCTTCGCGGGACGGCGGCGCCATGAGCGGTGCGGGCGGGGCGGCGGCGGCGTCCGCCAGCTCCTTGCCGTCTGCGCAGGAGGAAGGCATGACGTGGTGGTACCGCTGGCTGTGTCGCCTGTCGGGGGTGCTGGGGGCCATCTGTGAGTACCCCGTCCGGGGGTGGGGCCGCCCGCCGCCGCCACGCATGCGCGCCCTGGGCCCCGCCCCTCTTCCCGGGAGCCTGCCGGAGGTCCCCGGGGGGTCCGGGGGTGCCGGGCGCGCGCACGCCGAGGGCCCTCGAGGCTTGCAGGGCTTTGGACAGCTCCGTATCACCGCCCTCCCCCCCGCGCGGCCCTCGCGTCACCCAGGGGGCGCCGGCCTGGGGACGGCGGGCGGGGGTCCCAGGCCTGTGGCGCAGCCTTCGCAGGCCAGTCCTCCCGGGCCTTGCGGTGGGCGCCTCCCAGGCCGGGGCCTGCCGGGGCAGCCGGGAGCGAGTGCCCTTGGGGTTCACATGGTTACCAGTCTCTCGCCTTGGTTCTTGGGGCCCAGGAATAGGCTGGTGGTTCTGGGCCCTCCCAGGAGGGAACTTAGACTCCGGCCGGGAGCCTAGGCTCGGATCTGGGTGCCATTTTCGTGGCCAAGGCGCGCCCCCTGGCCTCGCCTCTTCTGTACAGTAAGGACAGTGGCAGCACCAACCTGAAGGGCTTTGGTGAACTCTTGCTGCGCGATGCAGGTAACTGCACCCAGCTCAGCCTGGCCCTACTTAGCAAGCCTCACCTGTGGGCTTTCGATGGGTGGGGGCCGCAGCGCTCCCAGCCTTGGGGCGGAGATTGTTTACTAGTGGGCCAGTGCACGTTCAGCTGGGTTTGTGACAGGAAGTTTCCTGCGGTCAGGCGGTACCAGGGAACAGCTGGCACTAGGGAGGCTGGGCAGTGACCTGAGGGAGGTGGCCTCTCCACCCACTTGGGGGCCGGTACAATCTCCCCCATCAGCTCTCCCCCTTCCGGCTGCCTCCGCCTCCTCTCCCCTCCTACCTTGGCCCCATGGACCCATCCTGGACACACAGACCGGTCCCAAGTTCCTGGGCAGCCAGGCTGCTTAGCGGAAGCCCAAGAAGAACATAAGGCAGATGGGTACAGAAGTATGATAAAGACCATGTACCAGGTGTTCAGGAGCCCTGGTGGCTCGGTGGTTGAGTACTCACCTGCTAACCAAAAGGTCGTCAATTTGAACCTACCATCTGCTCCACAGGAGAAAGATGGTGCTGTCTTCTCCCGTAAAGATTTCAGCCTTGGAAACCCTGTAGGGCAGTTTTACTCTGTCCTATAGGGTCACTGTGAGTCGGAACCAACTCAGCTGCAGTGGGTTTGGTGTTTTTGGTTTTGGTTTTGGTTTAGCAGGCTTTCCAGAAGCAAATATAGACCTGAATGGTCTTCTCTGTTCTCTCTGTCTGCCTCAGCGCCATGAGTTAGCAGTGGGAAGGGCACAGCAGGTCGGTTTTAGAAGGGGGCCTCTGTGGGGAGTCTGCAGGACCCGCCCCGGCTTGCCTGGCACAGAGCGCTCAGGCCTGGGCAGGCAGGCGCTGACTGCGTCTGCAAGAAGGTATACCTTCCCAGGTCCCTGTCCTCAGCCCTCAGTCCTGCCAGGTGGGGTGGAGGGCGGAAGGATGCCCAGGTGGGGGTGCTACCCTGGAAGGTGACGCTGTGGTGGCCCTTACCCAGGGGTGGCGATGGTCGGGTTTTACCCCAAATCATAAAGAGGCCTGAGAGTCGCTGTCACTGCTCTTCAGAGCTAGCACACTTTTGACCTGTGGAGAGACTGGTGGCTTGTGGTCCGGCCAGGCTGTAGACACGTTTGGTTTGCTGTTTCCCCGGGAGGTTAGAGTGGGGGTGGGTGGGTACAGGTAGGCTGGGGCTGGGGAAGGTGACAGCGGTGACAGCGGTCAGTTGTAGAGAAAGGAAAGGCCCCTTCATCTTGGCGTTGGCGGCCCTGCAGATTCCCAGGCCGCCCCTGAATCCCACCCAGCTCTGTGTGTGTCAGACGGGGGTGCCTGGGCTCGCCCCAGGAGTTAATGGTGCTGTGTCAGGGCTACAGCTGAAGCTTCAGGAGATGCTAGTGACATTATCCTGAACCGTCAGTTTCATCTGCAGAAGCGGACCTTTGGGTGTTGTCTGAATACTGAAGGACGTTTGATAGGGTAGAGTGCTAATGGGGTAGAATCGTGGGAGGCAGTTAGAGATGAAGTACAGGTGTGCTTCGGGTGCTCCCTCTGGGTTAGGGTGCCTGTCCTCTGCAGTGGGGGGCCGTGGGGGCCTGGGGGAGGCGCTGGGGAGGCGCTGACCCTGGTCCTGCAGCACGGCTGGGGCAGTGGTGCTGGGAGGAGAGGATACGGTGACCCCGCTCTACGTGGAAGAGACTCCGCGTGGATGTCCTCAGCCCTTTGTTCAGGGAGCTCCCGGCTGGAGCCTGCTTGTCTGGGCAGCAGGGAGGGTTGGAACAGGAGGTGGAGACGCTGCAGCAGCAGGACCTGCCAGGCGGGCTGTCAGCGAGACCTGGCACAGCCACAGTCAGGCGGGAGCATCGTCGTTTGGGGAGCCTGGTATTGGCTAGACGTCCCGTCTTCACGATTCCCTGAGGCACGTGTTCCTGACAGGCGTCAACGCGAGCCACCTTCCTGGGAGGCTGAAAGTCCTTCGTTTTAGAAATAGACCTGGGGACGCACGAGGGCATGCCCTGTTGCAGCTGGGGCTCCTTCATCGGTTTCCTCTGCCATCGCCCGCTGTGTGGATAGGGTTACACGGGAGAGTGGCTGCGAATTCCAGGCCCACATCCGAGGGATCAGGTGCAAAGGAGCTGCTGCAAGTTTAATGAGCTGGTTGCTGATTGCGGCCTTGGGGGGCCTGGCTTCCTGCCCTGCCCGTTCCGGGGTGGCAGGGCTGGTTCCTGCCCAGAACTCCTGGCTTCCAGGCCCTGGTCCGGTTTCCCCCGGTGTTCCTGTTGAAGCGGCTGCAGGCTGTGGGTGGGAGCGGAGGCTGCCCTGCAGACCCTGCCTGGTGTTGCGCTCGGGAGAGGAGACGGTGGGATCATCCCCGTTTGGGACGTTTTCAGGGAAAAAGAGGACACGCGCCTCCCAGGGTGGTGACCTGCCCCTCCCAGGGTGGTGACCCGCCCCTCTCGTGTGGCCCTTCCCTGCCCCTGGTCTCAGCAGCGGGCTGGCCGGCTGTGGGAACCTGCCTCGTGCAGGAGGGAAGGATGAAGGGACTGTGTTACAGTCACTCAGCTGGTGTGTAAAGTGGGAGCTGGGACAGCAGTCCGGGTGTTACTTGGTCCAGGTTTCTGTTCCAAGAGAAGCACCCCTGTCTCGACCACCATCCGAGCCACGTTTCTGAGTCGAGGACCTCTGGTGTGGCGGGCCCTGTGGGTGGGGACACTGACCCCTTACCTGGCCCGGTCTGGGTGGAGCCATCGTTCCATGCCGACCTCCCTGTGGGGCGGCCTCGGTATAGCCGGGGCTCGGGCGGCCAGACGGACGTCCTCACGGCCTCAGTGCGTGTGGCGCAGCGCTGGAGGGGGAGGCTGGGTGCCGTGAGGAGACTCCGGCGGGTTCCCCTCCTGCGTCTGGCCGTCTCCCTGGGCGGCTGTCTCCCTGGCGGCCATCCTGCCGTCTGCCCTCCCTGCTGACCCCTGCCTGTCTCTCTTGCCTTCAAGCGTGCGCCATCTCCGGCCTCTTCAGCTGTATCACCGTCCACCCCCTCAACATCGCGGCTGGCGTGTGGATGATGTGAGTAGCCTGCGGGGCCGTCATGCCTGACGGGGCCCGGGGTGTGGGTCCTCACCTTCACACCCCTGTGTCAGCTTTCTTAGTGGGGTCAGGCCCGGCGGCCCCCACGCCAGCCGCTCTCAGGTGCCTCTGGAACATGCAGACCCTCTGAGTCACACTCTGAGGCGGGCCCTGGCCCTCTGGGGTGCCCTGGGCCACAGTGTGGGCGGTGCCAGGTCAGGCTGGCCGAGGGCTGAGCGGAGGGAGGGGCCTGCCGGTGGCTGGGGTCAGAGGTGGGTGAGCCGTGCAGGAACAGGGTCACAGCCGGAGGGCTGCAGAGGGGCACATCAGAGTATAGCGAGGGCTCCTTGCCACCTCCCACCAGGGCAGCCCCGACCCCCTGGAAGGCAGGGGTGCAGGCCTGGGAAGCCTGAAATCAAGGTGCCGGCAGGGTTGGTTCTTCTTGGAGTCTCTGAGGGAGAGACTGGCTCAGGCCTCTGTCCTAACTTCTGGTGGGTGCTAGTGTTGACTGGTGTTCCTTGGCTTGTGGCTGCATCACCCCAAGCTCTGCCTCCACTTCATCTCACCTGCTCTGTCTCTCTGCCCACTCCTCTTCTACAAGGACACCAGTCATTGGATTGAGTTCTGCCCTAAATCCAGGCGGCCTCGTCTTGATAGCCCTAACTAACGGCATCTGCAGAGACCCTATTTCCAGCTAAGGTCACATCCATGGGTTCCAGGTTGTCATGCATTTTGGGGGGACACTATAACCCTCTGCAGAGGCCAAGGGCTGTGGCGAGCAGTCTGAGTGTCGGGTGGCGCTCTGGGTGGCTCTGGCAGTGGGGACTGCCCCCCAGGGTTGCCCCCTCTCGGTCATGCGCTCTGTCCCTCGTTCCCGCAGCATAAACGCTTTTATCCTGCTGCTGTGTGAGGCGCCCTTCTGCTGCCAGTTCGTGGAGTTTGCAAACACAATGGCGGAGAAGGTGGACCAGCTGCGCTCCTGGCAGAAAGCCGCCTTCTATTGCGGGTGAGTGGCTGCCGGGGCCGGGCCTGGGGCAGCTGGTCCCCCAAAACTTTGCTCACAGAGTGACCCAAAGGGCAGGGGATGGTGTTGGCGAGGGTGGGTTGGGGTGGGGGACAGGTGTGTTCACGTGCTCTCGGGAGAGGTTTAAACCGGGCTGGCCTTTGTGTGGAGTAATTTGGTGATAGCTGCTAAAGATGTGACCCCGGGATTGTGTGTCAGGAACGCAGTCTACTGCTGTCGTCACACAAGAGTTCAGAGGTACACGAGATACGTGTGACCCGCAGCATTGCGTGTGATAGAGAAAAGCGGGAGACACCTGGAATGTTGGTCCACCAGCTGGGGCTTACGGAGCCAGATTCCCGCCGAGCCAGATGCTGTTTCCGTGCAGGCTCTCGGGGAGAACGCAGGATGCAGAACAGAAACTTGGTGCCTCCAGATGTGCTTTTCTTTCGCTTTCGTATTCCTCACAATGACCTCAGCATAGAGTGCTTCACGTCGGAGTGGTTAAGACTGAAGTATTCCAGGACAGGTTTACCGCACGGACCTTCTGCAGACCGTGACCAGTGCTCAGGGACCGCTCAGCAGCTCTCGGTGGTGGCAGCAGAGCAGTAGTCATTAGTATTCTGGATTATCTTTAGAAATGAAAACAGGCTAGAGGGTCCCTTCCCTTCCTGGAGGGCCAACAGGTTTGACAGTAAGAACACAACGGTGCATATTCAGAGTAGTATCCTGCTGTGTCTCACCTCTCAGAACAAATACAGATGTCAGGGTGGTACACAGCACCGGGGTGGGGAAGGCACAGACAACTTCCTCTAGGGAAGTAGCATGCAGAGTGTTGGTCCTCAAGTCTCAAGTGTTTCCTGACCCAGGAACTCCAGGAGTCCCAGCCAGCCATGGGATCCAGAATCATCCCCATCGATATTTAAGCCGGAGTTGGCACTGCCACCAGGTGACGCCAAACTGTGGTTAGGACTGGACGGATCTGGCTTTAACCTGCGAGCCAGTTAGGTGCTCTGTGGCATTAACCTTGCAGTAACGAGACCCCGTGTTTTATGCATTTTAATTTTGGGGCGCTTAGTTGTTGAGATACGGCTGGCTTTACTGTCGCGAGCAAGATCTGCTGTTTCTTTAGTGCTTGTGACGTCCCAGGCACCATGTGAAGGAGTTAACATGCTTTTCGTCATTGAATCTCAAAACTTGTCCGCGAGGCCTGATCCCCATTCTCGAGTGAGACACAGCCGCAGAGAAATACCTTGCCCACGGTCACAGCGCTGCTAAGGGGCGCAGCTAGACACAAGGTTTTCTGGTCCCAGCCTCTCGCTGGGCCGTAGTTGGCCTGTGTTTCTGAACAGGGAGGGGCTGGGCCACATCAGTGCTGCTAGACCCTTTGAAAAATCTGGTGACAGCTGTGCGTTCTCTCCCCTGAAAATGCACAGACTCACGCTGACCAGTGCAGGGTGTTCCAGGGCATTCTGAGCCTGGCCGTGAACACGGTCCCGTTAGTTATGATGGATCCTTCCTGCACGGCTGCCTGAGGGGGCTGGGATGGCCTGGGCACCTGGGCGTAGGGGCCGGCTGTGGGTGGCGTGGAGCCTGGACCTGCATTTCTCCCCAGGATGGCTGTCGTCCCCATCGTCATCAGCCTGACACTGACCACCTTGCTGGGGAACGCCATTGCCTTCGCCACCGGCGTGCTGTATGGACTCTCTGCCCTGGGCAAAAAGTGCGTCTGCTGCCAGGCCCCCGCGCGGGGTCTGTGTTAGAAGGGAGGTCTGCGGGTGGCGCTGCTCTACAGCTGTGGAAACCGAGGCATTGAGGTGGTCAGTGACCCCCAGCCGTGTCTCCAAGGGGTCCAGCTCTCAGGACTCAGAGCGGCCTGCAGAGGGACGGCTCGAGAGCTTCTTCCTCTCCAGGCCACCCAGGTCCCAGTCAGTGGTCACTCTCTCCTGCAGAGCCCAGACCGAGGCTCTGAATCCTCCTTCCCCCAGTGTTCCTGGCAGCCCGTGCCCCCATCCAGGGAAGTGTCCTTGTCTGGGGAACCCAGAGGCCCCATAGACCCTGCCTGCAGACCACACCTGGGTCACTGCAGGAATGGGGTGGGGGCTGGGAGGCTGGCCTGGGGCCCATCCCCATCCCCAGTGTGATGCCACCTCTCTCTCTCCCAGGGGCGACGCCATCTCCTATGCCAGGATCCAGCAGCAGAGGCAGCAGGCGGACGAGGAGAAGCTGACGGGGAGCTTGGAAGGGGAGCTGTGACGCAGTCAGGGCCCTTTCTCCCCGTGACTGTCCCTGTTCTGTGTGACATCCAGAGGGACGAGCCTGGAAGAGGAGCCTTCACCTGGCCCCCACAGCCCTCTGTGCTCATCCTCAGCACCCAGTGGCCACTTTCCCCAGCTGGGCGTCTCCTGGTCCTGACTCGGGGGGCACCGAAGAGCCAGGCAGGGCTCTGAGCAGCCAGGAGACTGCAGCGGGTGACCAGGCCGTGGGACTGGGGGTGAGTAGAGCCCCACAGCTGGCGACCAGTCCACCTGGCCTCTCCTTCCTGCCCAGCCTGGCTCAGCCTGCAGGGGGCTCTGGGTGGACTTTCAGACCCCCCACAGCTGGGGTAGCCCCTCTGGGGACCTGGCAACGGCCAGGAGGAGGGATGCCTGCAAGGTCAGCCCACCCGGCACTGGGGCCCAGGCACTGGCCTGAGCAAGCCTCCCCAACTGTTCAGGCATGGAGCCCCTGCAGGCTGAGCTACCCTGGGCTGGCCTCTGTTCCTGACCCCTGTTGTATGGGCAGAGAGTATGGCAGGGCTGCATCCTGGGGCTGTTCTGCTGCCCACGGCTTCCCCGCTGCCACTCTGCTCTCTGTGGGGGCCACAGTTCTCCCAAGTGCACCCCCACCAGTGAGCAGCTTCAGCGATGACCTGACAGTGGAGCCCTGGGCTGGGTGCCCCCTCCCAAGCTCCTGGGACCTTGGACCTGGGGACATCCCGTCTGTCCCGTTCCTGTGGACCTGTCCCCCACCCACCTCGGGCACTGGTGCTCAGTAGGGGCAGAGCAGGCTCTCCTGCCCGTGCAGGTGCCCACATTAGCTCCGGGCCAGGCTGACCGACTCAGGTACCCTTCCACCCTAGCCCTGCCCTCTCCGAGCTCCTGCCTTGGGAACCCGGCAGAGGCCGAGCTGCTCCCCCAACTGAGCTGTCCCCACTGCACGCATGGAGGGCAGGCGGGGCGGGTAGGCGCATTGCAGCACGGAGACATCCCCACTCTCCTCCCGGCCACAGTCTTCGTCCCCTGGTCTGCAGTTGGGACGCATCTGCAGGGCCTGGAGGAGTCCAGGGCTGGTGGCCCAGCTCCATCTGAGCCCCAGCCTGAGCTCAGCAGCCGAGCTCACTGGGTTGAAAGAGCCCCAGGCTAGGCTGAGGCCATGTTTCCAGGAGGGGCTGAAGGGAACAGCGGGCTCCGAGTTGGAAGTGGGGACTCACTGGGTGGGGTCTGCCCGGCTCCGCTGGGGCTGGGGAAGCGTCCTCCCCAGCCTCTCCCCCATGCCCGACCAGGCTGAGCCCTGGGGTGGTGGGGGCGGGGGCAGCTAGCCTGGCAGGACATGTGCCTTCCGGGGTCCTCTGGGGCCACCTTCCTCGGCCAGTGCTGGCTTTAAGGGCTGTGGGCTCTAGGCCCTTCTCTCTGTGTATCTGCTCCCATGTGTGCAGTGAAGACCTGTCTACCTCCAGGAGGCGCTCAGGCCCTGCCCACCCTTCTGTCCCTGCCTGGGGGCTGGATCAGGAAGGTCACACCTCTGCCCTGTGTGGGGAATGAGTGGGTGCTGGGCAGACTGCAGAGTAGGGGGACCCGTAGGCCAGAGGGGTGGGTGCTTCCCCCAGGTGGCAGCAAGACTGTCACCGGGCAGGCCCTGAGCCCGTGGCCCTACTTCCTGGTGGGGGCAGCCTCCACGGCGGCACCCAGCCTTGCACGTGGCGCGGCCTGCCCCACTTGTGCTGGGCACTGTCCGCGCTCCGGTCTGCCCCCTGTGTGTTCCCAACGTCTGGTTGTGTTCTGAGCAGTAAAGGAACCTGGAGTCTGTTTGCCCACTCTGCACTCTGCCTGCTACCGTCCGTGGTGCCGAGAGGAAGAGGGGCAGCTCAGATGTCTCACCCCTGCCTCAGGGTGCTGGGCGGACGTCATGGGCATAGGTGCTCAGTGTCACAGGCAGGAGACGGGCTCAGGGGTGGAAAACGACCTGCACTCAGTTACATGGCTGGTGAGCTGGAGCCAGAGTCCAGGGCAGCGCCGACGCCGTGGCTGGGCCTTTACCTCCCGGGCTGCCTCCCCACTGCTATGGACACACAGCGGGAGGAGTTGTAAGGGGACTTACAGGCCCTGGTGGCCGTGGCTGGAGCACCTGGACCTAGGCCACCTGCCAGGGCTGCAGTGGGGCCCCCACTGGAAGAGATGCCCCTCGTTGCTCCTGAGGGCCACCCTTGGGCCCACCTTCTTTATTTCGTAAGTTGGGTGAACACAATCCGCAAATGGGAGTAGCTGAGGGCCCTGGTCCCAGAGGCCGGCTGGTGCAGGCCATGCCTGGGTCCCATGCCCTGGCCTCTGGGAGTCAGGAACATTCCCTGTGGTGTCCACCAGGCCCTCCCCAGCACAGACCCCTGCCATCCTCCCCACCGCCGAGATGCTTGCTGGTGGCGACTGTGAGGACCAGGGCAGCGTGATGGTGTAGCTGCTCCACCTCCAACCTGTGCTCCCTCGGTCCTCACTGCAGAGCCCATGAGGGACTGGGAGTGGGCCATGGGCTCCATGAGTAAGCAGTGAGGCCCGAGGTCACCCAGAGGGCCTTGTTCCTGGACACCAGTGAGTGTTCTGCACCCGTGGCCGCTGCCTCCCCACGGTCTTGCTCGTGTGTCCACCAGCATGGCGGCCTGAGCTGGGGCCAAGGTGGACAGCAGTCCTGCCTGCCCAGCCAGAACAGGGGTCTGGCGGGGGCCTGCTCGCTCTGGCCAGTCCTCCTGCACTCTGCTGTGGCCGCCTGGTCCCAGCTGCAGGCTGCGGGCAGTGCTGTGGGCTGTGGCCAGCTGGCTGGTGCTGCCCCTCCCAGGCAGGAACCTGACCTAGCGCAGGAAGGACCACCTCCGTGTGCGGAAGAAGGACTCGATCTGCTCCAGCGACCGGCCCTTGGTCTCGGGCACACAACAGCCTGTGAACACCAGGTTCACCAGGCAGACAGCAGCAAAGAAGAAGAAAGGCACCTGCAGGCCGAAGGTGTTCTGGGGGCAGAAAACAGGGCCAGGGTCACACGGAGAACCCAGGGGTCCACTCGCCCTGGACAAGCTCTGTGGGCCCTGCTTACACTGGCCAGGGCACAGGGCTGGGGTCACACGGAGAACCCGGGGGTCCACTCGCCCCTGATAAGCTCTGTGGGCCTTGCTCACACTGGCCAGGGCCCAGGGCTGGGGTCACACGGAGAACCCGGGGGTCCTCCTGCCCTGGACAAGCTCTGTGGGCCCTGCCCCTGCTACTCCCCTGCTCAGAGACCTCCTGGGGCTCCCACAGTGTCTCGGGGCCTCACAGGCTGCACTCGGTGATGGACTGGGGTCTCCTTCCTGCCTGAGGGCTCCATGCTCAGCCACCTTGCCTTGGTACCCATCCACCCATGCCCTGCCTGCAGGAGGCCGGCTGCCACAACCTGGCTGGGCACTCACTCTTCTGGGGCCACCCCCTGCACCACACCCGTTCCCAGCTGACCTACCTGCTTTCTGGAATGCTTGTTCTCACACCCTGATACACTGGCTCAGGGTGGGCATGGACCCAAGCCACGCCTGATTGTTGGGGGAATTTGGAATTGAGACCCGAGATTCTGGTTCCGGGGTCTCGGTTGGAGGTTTGAACCTGGCAATGGAGTTAGGCCAGGAGGGGTGGCTGAGTGTGTGTGAGCGAGTATGTGTGTGTGGGCATGCACACCCACACACTGTGGCCTTATGTAGCAGGGGACACTGCAGACCCCACCACCTGGGAGGGAGCTGGACACCCAGGGAGAGTGCGGTGGCAGGTGGGGTCCTCAGGCCCCAGCAGAGCACCAGGCCGGGTCCTGCCCAGGCCTGGGTGGTGGCCTGGCTTCTGGGGACCGTTCCTGTGGTCTGTTTCTTGTAATGAGGGCGCCCGTGCGAGGCCCTCTCACTTGGCTGCTCAGCCTCAGGTGGGGGTGGGACCTGATCTGTCTGGGCGTCTGTGAGGACCCGGTGAGATGGCAGAGAAGTGCTGGTACAGAGCGGACCGGTGGGCCCCAGTGAGCACTCACCACCACAGGCAGGAAGGACTTGGTGAGGGCGAAAGCTGTGAGCCAGCTCGCCAGGACGCAGAGCCCCGAGGCCGCACCGCGGGCGCGCAGAGGCAGGATCTCCGACATGAGGAGCCAGGTGATGGGTCCCCAGCCCATGGCATAGCCTGCAGGAGACGGATGGCCAGGCTGGCGTCTGCCACCCCTGAGCTCCTAAGAGACCCTGAGCCCCAACCCCAGATGCCTCGGGGCAATACCCTGCCCACCTGCCCTGGCACCCTCCCCCCACCCCCAGGACAGAGGCCAGTCCCCTCACTAATCTGCTCCCACCCTGCGGGGTGGCTGCCACACCTACCCATGATGAAAAACATGGTGGCCAGCAGGGGCACCAGAGTGAGGTAGCTGGTGGGTGAGGCCAGGGGCTGCTCACTGTCCCTCAGGGGTGCGCTCTCAAGGCCTATGGTTCCGTTGGGGGTCAGCGGACTCGGGCCCAAGTGGACGTACAGCCCCAGCGTCAGGTTAGCAGCGAACATGATGGATGCTGGGGACACAGGTGGCCCTCGTGGGGCCAGGACTTGTGAGCGGCACTCCCTCCCCGTTCCCTGCGTGCCCACTTGAGAGCGGGCATGGCGGCCCACTGTGCTGAGAGACCCCTGCAGAGAGCGTGCGCTTCTGGCACTGAACTGTGGCACCTGGTTCGGGTGCGCACACATCCCACGCTCCAGCAGGCCTTTCTGGAGAGCTGGTGCGTGCCAGACCCTGGGCCCTGCGCTGGGCAGGCTGGGCCCTCCAGAGCCCCCAGCACACGGTACCCACCGAGGGCAGGCTTGGGCCAACGAGGTGGTCTGCCCGGGCCCCCCAGAGCCCCCAGCACACGGTACCCACCGAGGGCAGGCTTGGGCCAACAAGGCGGTCTGCCTGCACCCCCCAGAGCCCCCAGCACATGGTACCCACCGAGGGCAGGCTTGGGCCAACCCAGGGCTGTGGGTGCTGCGCACCCAGTCCAGGCACACGCAGCAGATGTTGAATGGATCGGGAGGGCGGGCAGGTGGGCGGGGGAGGACCTCACCTGAGACGAACAGCAGGACCTTCCGACCCGCCAGGTCCATGGTGAGGGCAGCGATCAGCACAGAGAAGAGCCTCACGGCCCCTACAATGGCTGCGTCGTCCTCGGGGGGCTGCGGGGAGGGGGACGCCATGCTCAGGACCCTTGGCTGCCGCTCGTCCCCAGCCACTCTACCCCAGCCTGAGCCCAGGGCCAGCCCGGCTTCACAATGACTATTGGCCTGTGCTCTGATTTAATCATCAGATCTCATCTGAGCCTGGGACAGCTACCCAGCCATGCCACTGTCTCCATCATGCAGACAAGGAAGTTGAGGCTCGGGCAGCAGGGCCTCCTCACAAGTGCCAGATCCCACAGGCGTCGGGACCTGGGGTCTGTGGGCCCCAAGGGATCTGCCTTTCTGGAGCACTGGCCTCCTTTGTGATCCGGAGTATTTTGCGTTAATCCACTGCTGTGGAGTCCATTCTGACTCAGCTACCTTATAGGACAGGGTAGAACTGCCCCATAGGGTTTCCAAGGCTGTAACCTTTATGCAAGAAGACTGCCACATCTTTCTCCCGTGGAGTGGCTGGTGGGTTCAAACTGGTGTCCTTTTGGTTAACAGCCAAGCGGTTAATCACCGCACCACCACCATCCTATTTTAAAACGCTTTTCAAAAAACCAAAAAAAAAACGAGCTGCTGTTGAATGGACTCCGCCTCACAGCGATCCCGTGTGTGTCAGAGTGCAACTGTGCTCCACGGGGTTTTCAAAGGTGCCTCTGGGTGGTCAACCTGCTTAGCGGCCAAGCACGCGAAACGTGTGCACCCCGTGGGGACAAGCTCCGGAAAACACTATCCTGAGAACAGGTGGGTGGCAGTCTTGCATGGAGTGGGTCGCGTCTGTCTGTCTCCTGGGTGCCTGATGTCTGGCAATAGCAGATGCTCAGTAGGGAACAGATGTAGGAGTGCCCCCCACAGCAGTGGAGTGATAGAGGGTAGAGGGGGGCACCTGCCCCCCAGGGCGCGAGTGCAAGGGAGCGCCAGAAGAGGCACGGAATGACATTTCGGGGTGCCACAAATACGAAAGGCGCCTGACTGAGGCCGCCAGACGAGGGGGGAAGGCGTTTCTGCCAACCCTTCGCTGCTGTCAACGTCTGTTCATCTTGAAATTGGGTGGGCGGGAGCACAACTTAAGAGACTGGCCCTGGGCGCTCGAAATTGGGGGGGGTGCAATTTAGAGACTGCCCTGGGTGCTCGTTACCCTGGCAATGCCCCGCCACCTCTCCCTGACCCCCGAGCCAGCGCCCTTGCCCCACCCTCCCAGGGGTGGGGCCTCACCAGCAGGACTGCAGTGCTGGCAAAGATGGACTGCAGGTAGACCAGGATGGGCGTGATGCCCGTCAGCTGCTGCAGGAAGCGCATCAGCAAGGCGATGATGATGGGCCGGTACACCTCAGGGGCCCGGGCCTCAGCCCACGACACGCGGCTGCTCTGGAGACACAAGGCTGCTGCTGAGGGGCTGTGCGACCCCTGCAGCGGGCTGCTGCCCTGCCCTGGGCCACATGGGGAGACCCCCTTCCTGCCCTCCTCCAGGAAAGGGAACAGCCCACTGAGACCCCAGGCCCTGGGGACAGGCCCAGGGGGGCCCCCCACCCCAGCCCTTGGCTTGGCCAAGGCAGACTCCTGCAGGTCAGTATCTTCTGGCCTTCAAGCGCCCACTGCACAGACATGCTGTGGGCCAGGCCCGCCATCCCTCCACCTGACCCTCACCCTGGGGACTATCACTATCCCCATTTTCTAGAAAAAGCAGCCAAGGCTCAGAAAGGCCAAGGCCACAGGGAGCTAGGGTGCTGGAGGCAGCCAGCAGCTCAGGCCCCCCACCTGTCTCTGAACGTTGTCCTGGATCTGCTCAAACTCCCAGCGGATGTCGGCGTGGGCCCCACGCAGCCAGGCCAGTGCCTGCAGCGCCTCCTCGTCCCTGCCCCGCGAAAGCAGGAAGCGCGGCGAGTTGGGCATGAAGCTGAGCAGCAGGATCATGACAAGCACAGGCACCTCGCCAGCCACGGCCAGCCAGCGCCATGGTAGCCACAGGCCTGGGGGCGAGGACAGGTCAGGGGCTGGGGCCTGGGCCAGATACAGAGCCCCTTCCCACTAGGGCCTCTCAGCAACCTCATCTACCATTCAAGGTCTAGTCCAAGGGCCACCTCCTACAGGAAGGCCTCCCTAATTGCCCCAGGCCCGAGTGATCTAGGCCAGGAGCGGCTGCAGGGATTGTCCAGCTCCTAGCACAGGGTCCAGCACATAGTGCCAGTGCCTTGGAAGGTCTCAAGGGGTAGACTAAGCAGGCAAGGCCCAGGCTTCCACCCGCTCCACCCCCACAAGAGCAGCGGAAGCCTGATCTCCTCTACATGGGCTTCCCACAGAAGACTGCATCGGATGGGAGCATTCTGCTGTTAAAAGATGGTTTGAAGGCTGCAAACCCAGAGAAGCCCTCAGGGCCCAGACAAGTGGGACTTGTACCCAGGGAAAGGCAGGACATTGCCTGGAGGCCCACGGCACAGTGGGACTGTGCTGGGTGGGAGCCAGAGACCTTGCCTGCTGGCCCAGGGCTCTTTCTGGGGTGTGCCCTTGCTCTTTTCACACCTGCACCACAGAGGTGCTCAGCACTGGTCTGAAGGTCAGATACTTGCCAAGGGCGTAGAGGGACAGGGATCCAAACACTGCCATGAGCTGGGGTGTGGCCCCCAGGGCCCCGCGAACTCTGGGAGGAGAAATCTCAGACACGTAGACCTGCAAGACACAGCCTCGGGTGAGAAGAAGGCAGGTTCCCGGGCCTGGCCAAGTACGCAGGCGGCCCTCACGGGCCTCGGGAAGCAGGAGATGCGCTTCTGGTGGGCAGTTCCCAGGCTGGGGTTCTTGTTCTGCTCATGACTCACTGCCTGACCTCCCTCGGGCCTCAGTTTCCCTAACCGTTCAGTGGGCAGATGCTGGGAATTTAGCCGGCCCAGGGGCACCCGCCTCCGTGGGTGAGCAGGTGGGTGTCTGTTCCTTCCGCCAGCGTGGTCCCCTCTGCGGCACTCCCCCAAGCCAGCTGATGATGTGTGGAGTTTCCAGGGAGGGGATGCATGGTGAGGGACTTCCCTTTCCTCCCTGTTGCTCAAAGTGGACTTTCTCCAGTTGAGTAACGCATCCGCCTGTGGTAGGAAGTCTGGGGATTCCAGAGTCTATACTGGGCTGGGCACACAGGGAAGATTTAGCTGCCTAAGTAGCTGTCCAGGTGGAGGTAGGCCGAGCTCCCTGGGCTGCGCAGGGGAGGCAAACACACTCTCATTGACCAGTGGGCACGGAGGCCATGTGGTCTTAGCGGAAGGCAGTGAGGGCCTGGGTGGGTGGTCCTGGCCTTACCGGGATGCAGGCGGCCGTGAGCCCCCCAGCAAAGCCCGTCAGCGTCCTCCCCAGCAGCAGCATCCAGAAGCCATGGGCTCCCGCCATGAGTGCGTAGCCAGCTGCTGAGGGCGCAGCGGAGAACATGATGCTGAGCTTCCGGCCCAGGAGGTCGTTGAGGACCATAGCACTGAGGCCGCCAGTGGCCGCGCCCAAGGTGAACACGGACTGCAGAGACAAGGGCAAAGGGCAGACCAGTCTAGACCCCTCCCATCAGAGCCTAGAGTCAGCTTCTTCCTCAGGCTGCGAGGCTGACCCCAGGACTCAGGCCAGCGATGGAGGGGAGCCCCCTGTCTCCAGAGTGTACAAGCAGCATGTGGACACCCATTGTAGGGATGCCACAGAGGGAGTCCTGCTGTGGGGAGGAGAGGGGGCCACATGTCCATGGGGGTGCTGTCCACCTGATGTTTGATATCTAATATGTTAATGCAGGAGAATTCGGGGATGAGAAGCCCCGGGATTGGAGATTTGAGGGTGTTTGAAGACCCCATGGGGGACAGTGACTGGGACCAACCTAGACTCTGCTACTCGCTAGCAGTGTGCCTTGGGCACGCTGCTCGTCTGTCCGAGCCTGGGGTTCGTCAGCTGAGAATGATGGCGCCCGCCTCACAGGGAACCCTGGGAGTCAAGGAGCTCGCGTGTGCTAAAGGAGTAAGAGTACCAGTAGCCGTACAGGGCACCCCGACTCACGGCGACCCGTGGGTGTCAGACTAGAATTATGCTGCACAGGGTTTTCAGTGGCTGAGTTTTTGGAAGTAGATTGCCAGGCCTTTCTTCCAAGGCTCTTCTGGGTAGACTCGAACCTCTAACCTTTAGGCTAGCAGCCAACCACTTATTTTAGCCATATGTTGTAATTCTACAATTTGAGGCTACTAAGATAATTCTAGAACCACGGGCCCACCAGCTTTGGCCCTCTCTCTTCATTTGTTCACAATCTGTCCTGGGCATGTGTGTGATTGGGCCCTGGGGACTTTCCTTGCCCCCGCCAGTGCGTCTTTCCCTGATTCCTGATGTCTTGCCCCATCATCCAGGGAGGTATCCGCTCTGCACAGGAGCCAGCTGTGGGTGTGGGTCTGGGGAACCTTGAGGCCTTGAAGGCACCTCCCCTTCTTCCCACACGTCTCCAACAGCTTTCACTTCCCCTTTTTGTTTCAGGGCGGGTATGGCCCTCCCACCCTTAAGCAGCCTGGAGTGGGTGGGTGACGGGCAGGCCAGGCGCTGGAGAGGTCCCAAGGATGAGCTTTGGGGTGTCCCTAGCTGGGGACAGAACTGAGTGGCCCCCCCAACCACCCCAGCTCAGAGCATGGCCCTTACCCCAAACCAGGAGGCCTGGGATTTGGTCAGGCGTAGTTCTGGATCTGAGGCGTGCTCCAGGGCCGGGATGACGGGGGACGTGTAGACCAGGGCATACCCGAAGCTGAAATTGCCCAGCACGGCGGCAAAGGTGGCCAGGAACACCCTCTTGTTCTGCAGGGCCCTGGGGGGTTGGGTGGCAAGGACCGGGGTCTGAGTCCCTCCTGGCCACACTGCTGCCCGCCCTGGGCCCAGTGGCCTCCCAGTTTAGCAGCCAGGGTGGAGATGGTTGGATTTATGGCCTGAGCACCAGCTCCCCCGGGGAATTCCAGGGCGTGGCAGCCCCCGGCTGTCCTGACACTGGCGCTGGGGCCCCTTCTCCAGGCAAGAGCCTTGGAATCTGGGCCCAGCTCTGCCACTGAGGCCTGCTGTGTGATCTTAGGTCAGCCACCTGCCCTCTCTGGGCCTGGTCCTCCCTGTCTGGGCCCATGAGGATTGGCTCCTTAGATGAAAGAGCACCTGGGGCAGGAGGGGACCAGATGGCCCCTTGGTGGTCACCCTCTGAAGGTTAGGGATGCCTGGGCAGGAGGGAACCAGCCACGGCCCGCAGCCCATGCCCAGCAACTCTCACCCGACCCGCGGTCTGTCCTCCGGCGCCGGCTCCTCCGGGAAGGTGTCATAGCCTGGACCCTCAGCTCCCAGCAATGGCTCCTGCATGGCGGCCTCTCTGGTCAGGCCGTCGGGGTCCGAGCCGCGGCGGGGAGGACGCACTCCGGCCGCAGTGCCCCGCCCGGCATCCGGCCATCCGGGCTCACCGCAAGACCTGCCGGCCGGCCCCGCCCCCTCGGCCGCGATTGGCTGCGGGGCGGCCCGCACAGCCGTCGCCCGCCAATGGGAAGGCTGCACTCTCCGAGATGCTCGGATGCAGGCCGCACCTTCGGCCCAGGCTGGGTCAGGGCTCCACGGCCTCGGGCCGCGCCTCCACCCGGGCCTGCTCTGCAGATGGGAAAACCCTGCACCCGAGAGAGGGCCTTGAGGCGAAGCCTCTGCCGGTGCATCCGTGCGCACCGGGTCCAGGCCGGGCCCTCACCGTGAGCGCGGGCAGAGCCCCCAGCACCGGTGCTGAGCTCATATGGCCTTGGCTGTTCCCAGTCCTGCTGCACCTGCGCAGAGGCACGATGCCACCGCTATATACCGAGGAGGAAGCAAGCTCAGAGAGGCCAAGTGACTCTCCAGGGTCACACAGCACAAAGGCGGAGGAGCAAGACCTCGTGTCACTCCCAACGAAGGCTGCACGCCTGCCTTACACGCGAGCCTCTCCCTGCCACGCCACGACCCCATGTCACTGCCACCTCTGGTTCTCCCTACGGGAGGTTTGCAGGGTGAAGGAAGAGGGAGGAGGAGTGGGTGGTGGGCATTATGGACGCTCCAGTGGGCAAGACCTTTGCTTCCCCCGTTTCAGTATTTTTGATTGTAGAAATAACTTGGGCTTGTTGAAAATCGTCCAGGTAATAGAGTAAGATAAATCAGAAAAGCATAAACTGAAAATTCCCTGGAAGCCCATCCTCCCAAAATACACAGTCAATAGCCCCAGGTGTCTCTGGGCTTTTTCAGAAGGGGCAGACCACACCACATCCTGCGGGAGGAATGTGCCACTTACACGTTCAGTCAGATCATGTTGTTGGACCTTTCGGCAAGTCCCAAATTTTAGCTATTGGAATAGCAAAGCTTTTCAAAAGTTATTATAATTTCCTTGTATTATAATTGTAATGTAGCTATAGTGGTGCAATGGTTAAGTGCTCAGCTGCTAACTAAAAGGTTGGCAGTTCGAACTCACCCAGTGGTTCCACGGGAGAAAAGACTTGGTGATCTGCTCCCATAAAAATTAAAACCCAAAACAACCAAACTCACCGCTGTTGAGTCAATTCCGACTCCTAGCAACCCTACAGGACAGAGTAGAACTGCTCCATGGAGTTCCCAAGGCTGTGCTCTTTACAGAAGCACACTGCCACATCTTTCTCCCGTGGAGCAGCTGGTGGGTTCAAACAGCCAACCTTTTGGTTAGCAGCCGCGCGATTTAACCACTGTGCCACCAGGGCTTCTCCCATAAAGATTACAGCCTAGAAAACCCTATGGGACAGTTCTACTCCGTCACATTGGGCTGGTATGAGTCCAGATGGATTCGCTGGCACCCAACCACAACAAAGGCATTGGAGAAAATGGGACAAGGGAAAACAACCGCACCCACAGCCTCACCCTACTGGCCTTCTAGTGTCTGTCTGTCCAGCTGTCTCCCCCACGTGTCTGTTTTGCATAGTTGCCATGGGGGTGTGCATACAATTGTGTGGCCACTTTACATAAGCCTTTTTTTTTTTGGCCATCAAGAACACAGGCCGTGGATTCTGGTGTACTCAGCAAATGGCGACTCACGGATGATGTCACAGCCCTTTTAACCATATTTAAGAATTAAGACGGCGCACATCTTTAATGTACAGGTCAATGAATAAAGCCGTAACCACCACCCAGATTAAGAATCAGAAGAGTCCGATTGCCCCAGGAGGTCCCGAGTGTACCCCTTGCCAGTAGAACCCCACTGGCCTGGAAGCACCACAACTGATTTGTCACTGGGATTGGATTTGCCTGTTCTTGAACTTCACGTACGTGCAATTGTACTCCGCTGGGTCGGTTTTTCTAAATTATCGCCACATACCGCCCGTGGCCATTGAGTGGATTCTGACACACGGAAACCTCATGCGTGTCAGAATAGAACTATGCTCCAAAGGGTTTGCAACAGCTGATTTTTCAGAAGTGGATTGCCAGGCCTTTCTTCTGAGGCACCTCTAGGTGGACTCAAACCCCCCACCTTTTGGTTAGCAGCCTAGTGCATTAACCATTTGCACCTCCCAGGGACTTCTTTTCTCTCAACATAAATTCCTTCTCGTAAATCAATTTTATTAAGGTCTAATTTACATACAGTAAAATGCACCCATTGTAAGTGTGCAGGTTGAGGAGTTTTGACAACTGTGTAACCCGATTAACCACCACCCCTAAGATACAGAACATTTTCATCCTCCTAGAAGGTTCCTTAATGAGCTCTGGCAATGCGGTGGTTAAGCGCTTGGCTGTTAACCCAAGGGTCAGTGGTTTGAACCCCTCAGCCGCTCCGCGGGAGAAAGATGTGGCAGTCTGCCTCCGTAAAGATTACAGCCTTGGAAACCTCATGGGAAAGTTCTACTTTGTCCTTTAGGGTCTCTCGGAGTTGGAATTGACTCCATGGCGATAGGTTTGGTTTGGGTTTACAGGGTTCCTTTGTAGTCTTTTCCCAGTCAAGCCCCCTCTCCCCCACCCCCAGCAAACCACAGACCTGCTTTCCATGACTGTAGATGAGATGGAGCTGTTGTAGAGTGTCGTATAAGTACCCCTGCACAGTGAGTACCGTTTTGGGTCTGGCTTCTTTCACTCTGCATGTTTGTCAGGTCCGTCCACGCTGCTGCGGTTTCTCAGTAAGTGGTTCTTGTTTTCTGCTGCGTAGTATTGCGTAGTATTGCGTAGTAGGGATGTACCACAGTTTGCTTATCTTTGCACTTATTGATGGACAGCTGGGTTATTTCTGGTTTTTGGCTAAAAGAAGAAAGCCGGCATGAATATTCTTGCGCCTAGCCATATTTAAAGGCTGTTTAATGTCCCATTGAAAGAACTCTGGTGGTGCAGTGGTCAGGCGCTCGACTGCTAACCAAAATGTCAGCAGTTCGAACCTACCAGCCATTTGCTCTTTGGGAGAAAGAGTGGCAGCCTGCTGCTACAAAACATGACCGCCTTGGAAACCCCACGGAGCAGTTCTGCTCTGCCCTATAGGGTCGCTATGAGTCGGAATCGACTCGACGGCAGTGGGTTTGGTTTGGTTAACGTCCCACTGAGTGAATGACTCTTCTGTCGCTGGTCATTAAGGCTGTTTGAAACCATATGCGCCACCCAGGGGCCTTTGCTATTTCAAACATGTCTGCTTTAAAAATTAACAATGTGATGACCATCTCTGTTCTTAAAGAACAGTTTCCTTCTGCAGGATCATTTTTGTGGTCCTAAAAGTGTGTTGACAAATTGAAGAGGCATGGCATTGCATTCATCGTCAAAAAGGACATTTCAAGATCTATCCTGATGTACAACACTATCAGTGATAGGATAACATCCACATGCCTACGGGGAAGACCAGTTAATATGACTATTATTCAAATTTACACACCAACCACTAAGGCCAAAGATGAAGAGATTGAAGATTGTTATCACCTTCTGCAGTCTGAAATTGACTGAACGTGCAATCAGGATGCATTGATAATTACTGGTGATTGGAATGTGAAAGTTGGAAACAACCTTAGAAACAAAGAAGAAGGATCAGTAGTTGGAAAATATGGCCTTGGTGATAGAAATGATACCGGAGATTGCATGATAGAATTTTGCAAGACCAACAACTTCTTCACGGCAAACACCCTTTTTCACCAACATAAATGGGGACTGTACACGTGGGCCTCACCAAATGGAATGCACAGGAATCAAATCAACTACATCTGTGGAAAGAGACAATGGAAAAGCTCAATGTCATCAGTCAGAACAAGGCCAGGGGCCGACTGTGGAACAGACCATCAATTGCTCATATGCAAGTTCAAGTCGAAGCTGAAGAAAATTAGAACAAGTCCACAAGAGCCAAAGTATGACCCTGAGTATATCCCATCTGAATTTAGAGACCACCTCAAGAATAGATTTGACGCATGGAACACTAATGACCGAAGATCAGACGAGTTGTGGAATGACATCAAGGACATCATACATGAAGAAAGCAAGGCATCATTAAAAAGACAGAAAAGAAAGAAAGACCAAAATGGATGTCAGAAGAGACTCTGAAACTTGGTCTTGAACATCGAGTAGCTAAAGCAAAAGGAAGAAATGATGAAGTAAAAGAACTGAACAGAAGATTTCAAAGGGCGGTTCGAGAAGACAAAGTAAACTATTATAATGACATGTGCAGAGAGCTGGAGATAGAAAACCAAAAGGGAAGAACACGCTCGGCATTTCTCAAGCTGAAAGAACTGAAGAAAAAATTGCAACGGTGAAGGATTCTACTGGGAAAATATTAAACGATGCAGGAAGTGTCAGAAGAGGATGGAAGGAATACACAGAGTCATTGTACCAAAAAGAATTGGTTGACGTTCAACCATTTCAAGAGGTAGCATATGATCAGGAACCAATGGTACTGAAGGAAGAAGTCCAAGCTGCACTGAAGGCATTGGCGAAAAACAAGACTCCAGGAATTGACGGAATACCAATTGAGATGTTTCCACAAACGGATGCCGCGCTGGAAGTGCTCACTCGTCTCTGCCAAGAAATTTGAAAGACAGCTACCTGGCCAACCGACTAGAAGAGATACATATTTATGCCTATTCCCAAGAAAGGTGATCCAACCGAATGTAGAAATTATCCAATAATATCATTAATATCACACACAAGTAAAATTTTGCTGAAGACCATTCAAAAGTGGCTGCAGCAGTATTTCGATAGGCAACTGCCAGAAATTCAAGCTGGATTCAGAAGAAGATGTAGAACCAGGGATATCATTGCTGATGTCACATGGATCCTGGCTGAAAGCAGAGAATACTAGAAAGATGTTTACCTTTTATTGACTATGCAAAGGCATTTGACTGTGTGGATCATAACAAATTATAGATAACATC